CAGCCAGTTCCTGTGAATGTGGACCCGGGTCTTATGGCAGGTGCACTGGATGTGGGAGGTATGGATGATGGGACCCAGATGGACTCCTTCGACCACATGATGAACAACGAGGTTTCGGTGGATCTGGTCTGCTCGCTCGCGACCAACAGTGCCTTGTCGGAGGAGCAGATCCTTGGGCTTTACGGGGAAGATGTCCTGCAGCAAGTTCAGGTCCGACGAGCTATGCAGCTACGGGGGGCAGACGATACGGATGGTGGTGACGGTGACAAGGGTGACGGAGCTTGAGGGCTATGTGAAGTGAGTGGAAGAGGAGTTCGAGGGTGGCGACTGAGGGTTTCTGAGCTGGAGCCTGTAAGTGGCGCTGGTTTGGGGGTGCTTGGGGTCCACCAGTCCCCTGGCCTCTGTGGCCTTTATCGAGCAGACTGGATTGCTGGGTGAAAAAGGGGCTCAAAAAAAAACTTAAACCCTAAACCCTAAACCTCAAACCCTAAACCCTAATCCTAGATCGGATTCACAAAACACCCTAAACCCTAGACCCTAATCCTTAAACCTGAACCTCAAACCCTAAACCCTCATCCTAGATCGGATTCACTATAAGCCCTAAACCCTAGACCCTAATCCTTAAACCCTAAACCCTAAACCTCGAACCTTAAACCGTAATCCTAGATCGGATTCACTATAAACCCTAGACCCTAATCCTTAAACCCTAAACCCTGAACCTCAAACCCTAAACCCTCATCCTAGATCGCAGTCACTATGAACGGAAGCCAGGTATTTTCAATTTTCGCAAACTCCCATATCCTGAACGAACAGACAACGACCCTAAAGAGGAGGAACGGCCCGGCGACCAGAGCCCGGGGAAAGAGCTCCGACAGCTACGCGAGGCGTCTTTGAGACGGCGTGGGCTTGTATGGGCCTTCAAACTGGCTTGTAGGTTGTTGGGTTTAGGGTTTAGGGGTTTAGGGTTTAGGGGTGTTGTAGAGTTTGCATATGTTTTTTTCCTTTATCGGTGTGTCGATGTTTTTGAAAGTGGTTTCAATTAAGGGTTTCACACCTCATTACAAGGCTTTAAAACAGTCATGCTCTTCAGGCACTGTCTTGATCATCGGTTTGGGGTTGAGGGTTTAGGTTTGTTTCACTAGAGATTCTAAAGTTTAGGAGGGGGTTGTAGGGTCTAGTAGGCAACGATCAGGAGCGGTGTCATAAGCTTGCGATACGTGGCTGCAGGTGCTCATAGGTCTTTTGTTAAGGGTATCTCATATGATTTCTGCTTGTTTTGCAGAAAGTTGGGGTTTACAATTTAAAGGTTTTGAGGTGCAGCATTTAGGGTAGGCCCTCTTTGTTTGCTGGGTCGTTTCCTCGCTTTATTTATGAGGGCGAGTAGTGAGTACAGGCTCGGGGGACTTGGAAAGTAGTTTTCTTTAACTGGTAGTATCCGAAAATAGGGGATTCTCATATGGCACCTTCAATACTAGGATCCTTATTAAAAGGACCCCCCAAATCACGTACCCCTAATTTTCGGGGTCATGGGTATTTAGAAGTGGGGCTTATACACGGTTTAGGGTGTAGGGTTTATGAGTAAGGTAACTATAACCGTTATTAGGCGACCTACATATAACTCCAGTTACATATAACTGCCCATGAACCGCTAAGTGATCTCACGTTCTCCCAGAGGTGAACCGACGAAACCATTAGCTTAAACCCCAGTGCCTACTTAGTTTGCAGATTTAGGTGTTGTGAACCCTCAGGGTAAGGGCTTTAGAGTTTCGGTGGCGTCCTGAATCATTGAAACCATTAGAAGGCCTCTGAGAAACCTTAAACCCTAAACCATACAGTTCTTAGCAGCAATCTCCCCCGGGCGTGCGAGGACCTGGCGCGCTTCACCAGCGAGGGAAGCCGCGCCCCGAGAACTCCGGTGGGTTACCCCAAATTTGGTTTCAAGGGTTGCTCTTTAGGGTTTTGAAGGCACGCAGGGTTACTGGCTTTCCCATAGTTGTTGTTTTAAGGACTTATAGGCAATTCATGCGGTTGTGTGGGATTTGTGATATGGTTTTATGAAGTCTCTTATTGGGGTTCATTGGGGTTTCATCATCCGTTCCTGTTTGTGTTTTAAAGCAGAGATACAATCCCCCGAACAGGAACAGGGCCAGGGCGCTCATTCGCAGTCTGCCCTTGCCGGAGCAATTTCCTTGTCATGAGCACTGCCTGGACCTACATGCCTTTTGCCTCACTGTGCCCCCTAAACCCTAAACCCTAAACCCTAAAACCCTAAAACCCTAATCCCTGGAAGACTCCCAGCCCTTCCTGTCCCCTTTGATTTACCTGTTGGAGTTTGCCCGTCGCGGTCTGCCCTTACATTCCAATCGGCTACTGGCGCATTCATGGGCGGGTGTGGCACTCCTGGCTTTCCCGCCTTCTTGGTGAGCGGGATTTCTTTGAGGAGTATTATTGCGATTGAAGCTCCTACGGCTATCTTTCGTTAGAGCCCCTCTTTGAACCAGATTTCAACTAGACCCTAAGCCCCTTTGAAGCCGAAGCCCCAAAGCCTCAATCCCCAAACTAATTCGAGTCTATATAGACCCATCATGTGGGTTTAAGGGTTTGGTCTTGGGTCTTCGCCACTGCTTAATCAAGATGCAGACCATGAATCAGAAGATGCAAGCCCCTTCTATGTGATATGTACATACATATATATATATATATACATGTACATACATGCGTACATACATACACATATGTATATATATATATATATATACATATGCATTTTTTTATTGCTCGTGTAAGGTTTATCTCAACGTTACGGCCTAAACACCAAAGCTGGACGTGGAACGCTCTCTCGGGGCTTTCCAATTAACCGTTAAGTAGGCGCAAAGCTCTGCGCGCTGGATGCAGACCTCCGAGCGTTCTTGGGAGAGCAGCAGGCGGGCTTAGGGTACAAATAGAAGAGAGTTTCGTTTGGGGTTTAGGTGGGTGCGACGAACTTGTGGTTGTCTGCACATTCTTTTCAATAAGGTGGAGCGCTTGTTTATGATAAAGGTTTAGAGATTCCGGGGTTTTGACTTTTGGTGTTGGGTGCCGCAAGCTCGTCAGAGTCAGAGAGCTTGGAGCTTGGGGAGATAAGGGTTCATACTGACCGAATGGGGATTAGAGGTGGTTTTAAGGCTTTAGGGTCTTTCTGTGCGGAATCGGGATCAATATCCAGGTTTCAGGACTTGGGCAAGACACCTCAGTATTAACCCCGAATCCCCAAACCTCATACAACCGTTGTAAGCCCCTCAAGAGCCCAAGTACAAAGCTATCGAACTCTCAAAGATTGCGCGCTTACAGCTCTGTTGCAACCCTATGTAATCCCAAGCCTAAGACCTAAACCCTAAAGCCTATAGTGACGGCTCTGTGGAGCCTGGCAAAAAGCGTTTGGACCTCTGAAGCTCTTTAGACTTCTGATTCAGGAGTGATTCAGGATAACGAGGCGGCGTGAATGATTTCAGACAGTATTTCCTCAAGGGTCCATAACCGAACCTGAATGATAGCCTAACTTTCGCCAAATCCCGACTCTACTTATAAGCCCCTAAACATGGAAGCCTAAATAATTATCAATATCATTCCTTAGGATTCGTTATTACACTTTTACTATAATATATCCCAAAACCCTATTCTAATAATTAAGGCGCCTACCCTGCAAGGAGGCCGTAGAGCTTGCGCGGGACCTGAAGCAGCTGTTGGGACAGCGGCGGTAATCAAAGATCCTCGTGTTCGGGGCTGCCACGGTTTAGGGTTTAGGGGTTTAGGGTTGGGTTCTTAGGCAGGATACATGGGCCCAGGATATCACCCTCTTGTCTAGAGTCCGCAGGACCTGAGCCCGTTTTATGTGCCTAGGTGCTTAGGTTCAAAAGCTGACGGTTTTGTGGGGCTATTGAGGAGGATTCCTTGGAGTTTGGGACACTCGTTGGCTCAAGGCAGAAGAAACACCCAAGCCATGTAGGGGCCTTGGCAAGTAGAACAGGCTTTACGAGGATCTAGTCGTGGGTCCTTCGTCCTGAACTTCTGCGTCAAGCACCCGGAACCCTAAACCCTTAAACCCTAAACCCTTCTGCAAGCCCGAACCGCTCAGTCTTAAAGCCGCCCCCCCCTTCGGCCCCACATCGAACCCAGAAATCCTTGGTGGGGTCTTACAGGGCAGGTTCTCATAGACTTCCAGGGGTGTATATTGCGGCTTCGTGCTTGGGGTTTACATACTCGGTGTTATGGTGCGGGAGTTACGGTGGAGTTCAGCCCAAGACAAACCTTCGAACTCGACTCTGATCGGTGTCAGATGGCCCAATTACCTACTTTAAAACGTACACTACTTTAAGTGGTTGGTTTTGGGTCAGTCAGGGCCGGGGTGGGACAAGTAGCGAAAAGTATAGTGTTTTGGGTGGGTTAGGGACTATGGTTTTGGGAGTTTAACTGCCGGGGCTTTGAGTTTTAGGTGTTTTTTGTGGTATGAATTGTGGTCGGAAAACTTAGTTAATTTTGGGGGGATCATTTGAGGGCAGAAATTAGCTGTTTCGGTATTGGGGTGCGAAGCTAGATTTCTGAAATAGTATATGAAAAGGTTATCAACTTCAGAGGCCTTTCGTCGTTCGCTTTTCGTTGGCCATCGAGCACATCGTTTTCATCCTCGACGTGGACGTTCGGAGGTGGCCCTGGCAAGTGTTGGGGTTTGGGTTTGTGCGTGCAGGAGTGTTGCTTGCCAGTGCATGTCACCTGAGTTTGTGCAGTTGCAGCTGAGCTTGCATGGATTGATTTTTTCGGCAGCATTCAGTGGCCCCAAAGTGCATTGATGTCCCGATCATGTCACAGATCTTACTTCTAAATACCATTCTCACTTTCGCAGATTTCACAGCTTTCTTTTTGGTCGCTCGGGGTTTCTTGGTCGTTCGGTCTTTAGGCCGTTCGGGTTGTGTTGGTCGTTCGGTCTTTATTTAGGCCGTTCGATTTTTGGTAGTGTCGTCACGATGTCTCTCGGCGGCCGCAATGGACCTCGTCGTGCGAATGAGGACCTGGACTATGAGCAGCTCGAGGGCAACATCGACGAGGGGTCGTTCTGGCAGGGCCCGTTGATCGTTGCCTGGGGGGCAGAGGAGACATATGCCACGTCCAGTCGTACGGGGGTCGTTCGTAGCTTGCCTTAAATTATGATGCCAGGGATGTGTGACTGTGTGGCTTCAGGTGTCACTTCAAGGCTGTCCAATCAGTTTGCGATCTAAGGCCAGAAAGGCCACTCGGTAATGCCGGCGTTCTTGAAGAAGAGGTGGTATGAGTTGATGGGGACCCAGACCTCCATCGACGTTCGGGGCATGTGGCCTAACGATAAGGAGGCCGCTCGAGTTGCTGGCAACTTGGTTTAATTAATTGATTAAGGCGGCTTGTGAGGTTTGGTCGTTCGAGGGTTTTTGAAATTGAGGTAACCCGCTCTGCGTGTATGCCGCCTGGCGAGCGGCGTTCGAGCAGCAAGAGTTCATCCCGGCCTTCCTTGTTTGCTACAACCTGCTCCAGGCCCTCGTGCCGCTCGAGGGTCGTTCGGTTTTGCAGATCATTTGTAGCCTGGATGCATCTAGGGACATTCCGTGAAGCCAAAATATGATTGAAGCCATGATTTATCCAGCATGACTCCAGTGCAACCAAGGCTCCCATGGCAAAAACCGCTCGGCGTCCATCGGGGTCGCTCTGAGTGCTTTGTGTCGCATCCCGATTTGGCTCCCGACGTTCGGAGATGCCCATCGGGAGTGGTGGGCGATCGCCCAATTGCCGGACGTGGCCATGGAGGAGCTGCAAAACTTGGTGTCGTCCAACCGGCCGGTCAAAGGTCCCCAGACTCCGCCAGGTCCCCCGGGGGCCCCGCCTCCCGGTGGGGTTCAATACCAAGGGACGTTCGACAAGGCGGATATGGGGGCCTCCATGCCATCCCTTGGCCATCCGATTCGAGATGCCGCCTCTCGGATGGATAGTGTTGTGATCTTTGCGATTCGGTTGTTGCTTCATGGCCTCGCGAGGTTCGCTATGAGATATGGCAAGTGGCGCCCGCCGTGCTCCTGGAGCTCGACGACCTTCGGTTGGACGACCAGTGTATGCGGGCCTTTCGGATAGCATTTAGTAAGCATGCCGACAGGAGTGAGTTCAGACTTGCATTTGAAAACATCCACTTTGAATCCTGAGTCTATCTCCAACATGGCCGGCCGTGGAGTGGAGGGGGCGCAGTTCGTGCGTGAGCTTTTCCAGATCTTCCAGCGAGACTTGGCTGCTTTAGTTGGGTCGTTCGATGGTCGTTCGGTTTCGCGAAATTTTGTAGCTGAGGCGAGAATCAGGAGGACCTTCGGAAGTACGACAATCCGTCGGCCGCAATTACACGGGCCATTCGGAAGGAAATGGATCGCTTGCGGCCGGAGATCCCGGGGCTGCCTGGCATCTTGGACCACAATAACTAAAGTGAAGTTGTGCTTAGACTCAGCTGATAGGGCAAGTCCGGTTGGCCTGTGTTCTGAGGAAGCAGTGGCGATGGTCCTCGCCGTTCGGACGACCCGCCTCGCGATCATCGTCCTTCGGGCAATCGTTCGGACTGGGGTGACTACGATCCCCCTCGCCGTTCGGACGACCGTGGTGGCTTGCATGCACGAGGTTAACCAGTGAAGCTGCGGTTTTGACTTGGGACTTGGTCGTAGAGTTGAATCGAACCGGGTCTGAGGCGACGATCGTGACCGCCGTGGCCCTGGTCCTGCTCCTCGCTACGGCGATCGTCGTTCGGAGGACAGGGACTATTACAACCGCGATCGTCGCCCGAACTTCTACGACGATCGTGATCGCGATCGTCGCCCGGGCTATCGCTTTGAGCGGCGGGACTACGACGACATCTCCGATCCGGGCCACCCGGGACGTCCGGCCCCTCGCTACGGCTTTTCGGACGAGCGGGTCGCTCGTCCAGCAATGATTGATTCATGTGCTTTGTCACTTGTTTTGGCCGTTCGTTTTGCATGGCTTGCATTGAATAACAGTGTTACATTGCAGCTGCCGAGGATCGCCAGCGTCGTCGCTACTAGGCCGTTCGTGACGGCCGTGCCTAGGCTTAACTTGAACAGTCAGTTATGCTTGCAGCGAGTTGAACTTCATTGAACGTGCATCCGACTAAGGTTCGGACTGGGCCATTGGAGCCCAGCAAGCTGCGATCCTGATGTCGTTCGTTCGTCCCGGGATCTCGCGGCCAGCCTTTTTTGCGGGACGGGCGAGTAGAGCCAGCCCGCCGACAGGGGCAGGGGGGAAAAAAGAGAACGTGTTTGCGTGCACTGGAAGCTGTCTTTTGCCATGCAGCATCAACATGTGCTGCTTCTTCTGACTTCGTGGCAGGTCCTGGACGTTCGGGAGGCCGTGGCGGTGTTCGTGTCGACAATCAAAGCAGGCCGGCCGACTTTAATTAGAAACTTCGGGTAGTATGGAATTCGTGGGTTTTGCGGGTTGGTTTGTCGCTCACTTTGGAGTTCGTATTCGGGATCGGGGTGTTCTTTGATCAGGTTTGGCCGTTCGTGTGGGACACATGATAAGTGAGTGAGCCCCGAGCCTGTAATTTTCCCAAACAACAAGCCCCAGTAACAAGCCCCTAGATTCGACTTTAGAAACAGCTATATATCTCTGGTTGTAAGCTACAAAGAAGCATTCTACCTCCTGTATGTGAACAAAAAACAAAGCTTCGGCCAGACCTATAAACCCAAAACACAAGCACCCGTGGCTAGTTTTACAGCATATCTAATTTCGGTAGGACAGAACTTTGAGTAACCAAAGCCATCATTGTACAAACCAGGCCCAACGTCGTTCGAACTGAAAACAAGGCCCAAACCAAGCCGCCTTTTCCCCGGCAGGAGCGGGCGTGAGCATCTCGCAGGTCGTTCGGCGGGTTTTCGGCGTTCGGGATTACTTTGCACTAGCTTGGAGGGTTTAGATTGGTGCTAGTAACACAGTCTACGGGAAGCGAGGACGTTCGGAAGACCCCAAACACATCCTAAACCACACAAGCTAAACCTTAGAGCTTAATGCTAAATCTTAGAGCCCCCAAACAGACCACAGACTGGGAGCCCAAACCCCAAGCCCTTTAGCGACATGCCTTGAGTGTTTTTTGGGACGTTCGAAATGCATTGGATCTGTGCGTGTGTGCTTCTGGTTCCAGGGTTGAGATAGGGCACATCAGTTAGTAGGAAAGCCCCCGTCATCATCCGTGCTGCTTGGTCCGTCGGTCGTTCGTGGTCCTTCGGACTTGCTTTGCTTTTCGTCTTCGTCGTCGTTCGTCGTCCTTCGTGGTCTCTCGTAGGCCTCACGACCCATGGCGAAATCGGGCTCGGCAGCGGCGAGTCGCAAGGCGGCCGTAGCAAAGAAGCAGGCCGACAAGCAGGCCGCTCGACGTCGGGCGAAGGAAGAGAAGCTCGCCAAAAAAAGCGAGAAGGTCTTCGCGAAGTCTCTCGCCAGCTTCCAAAAGTCCTCGGCCGAGCGAGCGAGGGCCTACGTGGACCAGCAGCTGGACGACAACCCAGGTTGGGTGCGGCCTCTCGCGGATTTGATGCGAGACGGAGCTCTCCAGGCACTGATTCGCAACGGTGGGACGGAGGCCGACGGAGGCCGGTCGTCTTCGAGCATGGCACCACGGTGGACAGGCAAAGCGAAAAGCTTTGGTTGTTTGCCGGACGAAGCCAAAGCTCACATGCTTGAGGTCATCGGCGTGAAGATCCCAGAAGATGGCACCGATGAGGACACTCTCACGGCGTTCTTTTGTGTGCAATTCTTTGTCGATCCGGACACCAGCCTCCCGCCCAACTGTCGGCCGTTCGATGTGTTGACGGAGATGGCCGAGGCCCGTTTCAAGCAGCTCGGGTCCACGAGAATCGCCACCGAGGTCAAGGAAACGGAGTGCTACACCTTCACCCCGCCATTGTCGATCAAGTGCCCTTTGACGGACGAGGTGGTCACTCTGCCACCGTTGACGGGTGAGGATACGTGGGAGTTGACAGATCCAACTTTGCCATCGTGCTCCGTGCAATCAAAGGCAAACCCGGCCGTGTCGTTCGCCGTTCGCAGTCTCTTCCAGCTGCTAAGGCCGATCGACCCAGAGGCCAAGTGGAATGGCAAGAAGAAGTGAGCTTTCCTTGTGCGTCTCACGGGGTTCGGCCGTTGTCGTCACTCGCACAACGGCAGTTTTGGCTGGGGTCGCAGCCGCAATCTTTGTGAAAAGCTGTTTGTGGCTGCTATGGGGCGGAAAAAGCTACCCTTTAGAGTGCTGTATGCCCATTTGAACACATTTCAGCTGTATCGCCGGTGTTTTGTATGGTTTTGCTAGGGTTTTGCAAGGGTTTCTGCTGGTTTCTTGGTATACAGCCAATCCTTGACTTTGAGGGCGTCATAAAGGCATGGTTTTCAGAGTGGTGCGTTTCAGTGTTTTTCAGGTGCGTTTCAGGTGCGTTTCAGCTTTTTTCCGAGGTTTTTGCTTGGTTTTGGGGCCCCTCGTGCAACTTGCTGCCAGGTCGCTCGGGAGACGAGTGCGTGGTCCTCGGCGTGCACTGTCTGCCTTGCGAGGAGGTGAGCTTTCAGTCTGTGCCACAGTGTGTTCCTACGGCTACTGCAGGTTTTTAAGCTTGAAAGGCTGAGCAGCAGATGAACACACATGGGCATCATCATGAGTCCGGGTTGCTTTGTCTCTAAGTAGTCAAGTTAGTCGTTTTTAAAAGTTGTATTGTAAGAGCATCCCAGAAGTCCATTCAATTTTCCGCTAGATCACACTGTTGTGATGGCGTCCGTGGTTGCACAAAAGGGTGTTAAAGCAGAGGGCGAGGACGAGGTCGTTGAAGTGAAGTCAGAGTCAGAGGGTGAAGACAAGGTCGTTCGAGCAGAGGCAGACGTCGTTCGAGGGCGGGTCGTGCGTGCGGTGGTTTTGCCGTGCGGGGCGAAAGGCAACTTCAAAGGCGAGGTCTACGAGTTTGCCGAGCCTGTGCAAGCCGAAGACGGGCTGTCGACACCGGGTTTTTTCTTCTGGTTGTTTCGGTGGCTGGTCGATTTCCTTGGTGGAAATCAGATCCCCAACTTCGGGGGGCGATCGCGAGCCACTCTGCTTGGCCGAACGGCCAGCCTGTTGGCCGATGGTCTTTCATCGTCGTCGGAGGAGGAGGAGGGCGAGAAGAAGGGGTCGTTCGATGGCGGGATCGTCAAGGAGGAGGACGAGGAGGAGGAGGAGGAGGAGAGAAGAAGCACGATGAGGCGGAGGACACTCGGAGGCGACAGGCCAAAGTGCCGATCGCAGAGCAGCACTTGACGGTGTCGAGCATCATGTCACGGCTGTCTGGAGCGAAAAGAAAGTCCGGAGGCAGGGTTGATGACGAGGACGTTGAGATGGAGGTCAAGGACGACGACGAGGAGCTGGAGGCGGTGGACGTTCCTGGAGACTCCGTCGACGAGGCAAAGGCTCCCCGGTTGAGGGGCGACTTTGCTTTGTCGTCGTTCGCGATGTTGGTCTGGATGTCAAAGCTCATGGTCTCGGGGCCTCGGGCCGGCTCCCGATGGATGCTGGACTCTGCGGAACTGAAAGGTCGCTGCCGGGCCTTTCTCCAAGGTCTTTCGGACACGTTTTGGCAGAACGTCCAGGGCGACGTGTTTCAGGTCGTGCGGGGCGAGCTGGCCGTGGATGTTCTGACGGCCGCCGAAGGCAAGCTGGCCGCCAAGATCTTCAACAAGAAGAAGACGGTGTCGGTCGTGGCGGCCATGGCCACCCTGCAGGGGGACGTCTCTCGTCGTTCGCTCTCGGCGGATCGCAGACGGCTCGCGGAGAAGCTCTTCAGCCGTCTGCTGCAGTCGCTGGCCAAGGCCATCGACGACTCTCGCGGCCAGGACATCTGGACGGCCAGCAAAGTGGAGTCTCTCGAGCAGCTGAGGACTGCTTCCTATATATTATACGATCCATAATCCATATAGTAGTTCGTTTTCTAAGTATAAGACCCATTAGGAGAGGGTGGTGCGTTTCAGAGTTTTTCAGGTGCGTTTCAGGTGCGTTTCAGCTTTTTTCCAAGGTTTTTGCTTGTTTTTTGTATTGTCCCTGGCAGGACGGCCCGGGGCTACCGGAAGGTGTCGCACGGGTGCCAAGAGGCCGTGCTCGAAGCTGGGCGGTCGGCAGGACCTTCGGTGGCGGCAGCCTTGGCAGCACAGGGCCACTTCAGTGGCAAGGCTGCGGCGGCTGGCGGCAAGGAGGTTCGACGAAACAAAGAGAGACCAGGCAAGTTTCTGGAGGCCGAGCGTCTCTCTTACGTGGCAGCTGGCAGGGCCTCTTTTGCTCAGACGACCGTGCTGAGTGTGGTGGCCGATGCGGTGCACGTCGGAACAGAAGATTGGCTCAACGTCTTCGTGTGTGACCCCGGGCAGAACTTGTCGTTCGTCTGCCCGCCGCAGGCCGTGAGGGAGGGCGGCTTGAAACCTTTTACTAGAGAGGTATGTTTGCAGAGGGGCTCTAAACTGCTTGAATTTTGGTTCCCTTTCTGATAGCAGAAAACCTGCGGTTTAACGGCGCCTAAAAAAACCAACGGTTTAACGGCGTCAATTGCGCAAACCAAAAACCTGCGGTTTTACGGCGTCTAAAAAAACCAACGCTTTTACAGCGTCAGTTTTCGCGGGGGGGGGGGGGGGCCTATCCCTGGACCCAGGCCTGGCCCTTCTAGCCTTACTACTGGGCCTGGACCCCAGGTCCCCAGAAACCTGCGGTTTACCGGCGCCTAAAAAAACCAGCGGTTTAAAGTAGGTCATTCCGCGGGCCAGAAAACCAGCAGTTTAACAGCGTCAAAAAAAACTGGCCAAAACTGGTCCAATTTTTTCCATTTTTGGGCGTTTTTTTTTATAGTTTTGCGGACTGTTGTTTTGGTAGGTTTAGAGCGACTTCGTACGACCTCTTTTAGGTGCATGTCGGTAGCCATGTTGTTTGTGTGCCGTGTCTGGCGACAGCAACCAATGTTTGGTCGCATCTGTAGATCCGAAAGGAGCACCAAAGCAAAGGCCCTAAACCAAATATCGAACAATCGGCACACACCAAGCTCAGATCCGACAGAAGCAACAAAGCAAAGGCCCTAAACCAAATAAAGAACAATCGAAACACCCCAGAAAGCTCGCAGCCCCTTAGGCAACCCGCTTCTGGCTTTGGGCTTTGCCGGGTGGGTTTAGAGAACCAACAGACCAAGCACTCCTGAAGCCCTGCAGAGCCTCCGAAGGCACAGTCTTTAGGGTTTTGCTTTGCCTCCTTTGCACAGGTTCAGAAGGGGACGGTCGTCACCAAGGAGGAGTGGGTGGACTTGTGGCAGGGCCGTCTCACGAGCTTCTTCAAGGCCGGCGGAGGCAGAGGGCGGGGTCGTGCGGCAAACAGAGAAACGGGAGGCACGAAGCAGCCTGAAAGGCTTGCCACCCAGGACTGGTTGAGGGACGTGTCCCACAGTCTCGGGGCGATCGGCTGGGGCTGGTCGTCCTGTGGTCGTTCGGAGACCGCAGCAGCGGGAGCAAGGCCTGTCGCCATGGTCTTCTGCACGGACCAGGAGGCCACCCAGTTGTCGGCCCTGTCCTACTTGAAGTTTAGCCGTTCGCTGCTGGTAGAGCACGTCAACGACCCTGCCCACAGGTCGCACAACGACGTTCACTTGGCTCTGGCAGCAGCAGGTCTCTTGACGTTCGGGCTCATGTCGTTCGGGCTGTACAACGTCCGCTACGGCCCATGGAACAAGGGCACGTGGTTCGGCAAAGTGCAGCAGACGGCGGACGAGATGAGCCGTTCGATGAGTGCATCGGACCCTCTTCTGGTCACCTTCTTCCCCGACATTTTGGCGGACGAGGGCCGTTCGCAGGAGGAGAACACCGTGGAACACCGTCGCTTGTTTCTGGAGTCGCTGCCAAACAGGTCGTTCGTTCGAGCCAAAGGGTCGAAGGCTTCGCCGTCGCGGTTTAACAGCCTGTCGATCGCACATGCGGAACTCGACCCGGAGTGGTCGTCGTTTTGCTTGGTGCTCGCCGTCTTGTGCATCAACGAAGGGTGGGTCAAGAAGGCGTCGGACTTGTGGTCGCCCGATGCCCCTGGCACTTCGGAGCAAGCTGCTACCACCAGGGCTGCCGCGAAGTCCGCAGCTCGCAAGGCCTTGGCTCAGCAGCGAAGCCGCACGGTGAACACTCTGCACTCGATGACGACGTTCGCTTGCAATGCCGACAACAGGTCTCTCGCCAGAACCGTGTTTTTCGTCTTGCAGCCCGAGGGCCTCAGGTGCTCGAAAATGCTCGAGGAGCTGCGGTCTCCCGAGTCGACCGTGAGGTACTTCAGCGAGTGGGCGCACTGGGGCTACATGGCCACAGCTAGGGAGCACGTGGGTCGCCTTTCGGACCTCGCCTTGCTCCAGCGTGTCGGGCTGGACATGTCCATGGACTCGCCCTTGCTTGCTGCCTCGGACGACAACGGACGTTCGGAGGCAGAAGCAGCTCTGGCCTGGCAGGACTGTGTGGCCCGTCGCCTCGCCAAGCTGACACAGCGACTGCTCCGCTACCGTTGTGGGAGTCAGCTGCCGTCCACCAACGGGTGGGGGGCAACCGCAGGCCTGCTTCACGACTCCATAGCCTGCCGCCAAGCAAGTCTCCGGTTTTTGGACGAGGTGGACAAGGTCGTTCGGAAAGTCAAGGAGGAGGGCTCTCTGGAAGCTAAGTCGTTGCTCGAGGGTCACCCTGCAACAGCACCTCTGCTGGCCTTGGTTTTGGGAGAGCTGCGTGCCGGTGCGTTCGTGGAAGTCGACCCGGACACCCAGGACTTTCTGCGTCGGCTGTGGGCAGGCTTGCTCAACAGCAAGCTCGTCGAGGACGGGAACAAGGTCCAGCGAGAAGCGGAGCAACGAAACGGCTCAAACAAGACTTTGGGCCGGGTCGAAGGCTGGCACGGTCTCTCACGTTCGCTCGTCCTCAAGTCGTACGAGCGCCCGGAGGTGGCCACCGTGGGCATGGCCGAACTTCCAGGCGGCTTTCAAGCGGAGGACTGGTTCGTTCGCCGCAAGCGTGTGCGGCAGGAGCAGGGCCAGTCGTCCACGGGAGCGGCCTCTTCGTCTTCGCGAGCAACCAGGGCAAGCGAGGAAGAGGACATCTTCGTCGGCGTCAGCAGCACGAGAACCTGGGCCTCGCACACACCGGAGTCGCAGCAGGACAACCTGGCTTCCTTCTCCTTGCTGGCCAAGGTTGTTCGAGAGAAGAGGGATTGGTCGTTCGTGGAAAAAGGCTGGTGGGCATCGCTGCTGCCCGAGGGCTGTGGCCTGGCCTTTGAGGGGTGCCCGCCCTGCTTCGTCGTTCGCAGCTACAAGCGTGCTGCTTTGGTCTGGCCAGCAACGTTGGAGCCGCTCGGCGACGGCAGCGAGAGGCTCGTCCTGCAAGCCGACGTGGCCTCGCTGTGCTGGGTGCACACCTTCGACGACAACGTGGTCGTCTTGGACCTTGCGGCCACGTCGCCCCTTCGTGCCCTGTGAGCTTTTTGTTTTTTTGGTTTTCTCAGCCTTTTTCCCGAAAGCATCGCGAAGGGTTCTTCCGTGTGGAACGCCGCAGCTGAGTACATAGATGACAGACATAGAATCAACTCACTTGATTCCATACTTTACTCTACACTCTACACTTGATACTTGACTCTACACTTGATACTTACTTACTTACTTGACCCTTATGACTGACTCTCTACACTTGACACTTGACTCTATGATACTTGACTCTACACTTGATACTTGACTCTATGTTATGCTTACGACTTACTTACTTACTTACTTACTTCAATCTACTTACTAACTTACTTGACACTTGACACTTGACACTTGACACTGGACTCTATGTTATGCTATCTCTATACTTACTTACTTACTTACTTGACTTGCTTACTTATACTTACTATACTTACTTACTTATGACTGACTCTCTATGCATCTATGACTTACTATGACTTATGACTTACCTTACTTGACTTGCTTACTTATACTTACTATACTTACTTACTTATGACTGACTCTCTATGCATCTATGACTTACTATGACTTATGACTTACTCTCTACATCTCGGTATCTTAATATTTCTTAATATTGGCGGGGGTGGCACCGTCGGGGTCCATCGGGAATGCAACCCTTCCCAGGGATTCGCTGCCTCGGGCGTTCAAACGCTAGGTAAAGTGACACATTTTAGGCGCCCGCGCAACCCTTCCCAGGGATTCGCTGCCTCGGGCGTTCAAACGCTAGGTAAAGTGACACATTTTAGGCGCACCGCGCAACCCTTCCCATGGATTCGCTGCCTCGGGCGTTCAAACGCGAGGTAAAGTTACACATTTTAGGCGCCCGGCGCAACCCTTCCCAGGGATTCGCTGCCTCGGGCGTTCAAACGCTAGGTAAAGTTACACATTTTAGGCGCCCGCGCAACCCTTCACAGGGATTGGAACTCTCGGGCGTTCAAACGCTAGGTAAAGTTACACATTTTAGGGTTCCCGCGCAACCCTTCACAGGGATTCGCTTCCTCGGGCGTTCAAACGCGAGGTAAAGTTACACATTTTGCGGTTCCCGCGCAACCCTTCACAGGGATTCGCCTCCTCGGGCGTTCAAACGCGAGGTAAAGTTACACTTCTTGCGGGCGCCGCGCAACCCTTCACAGGGATTCGCCTCCTCGGGTTCAAACGCGAGGTAAAGTTACACTTCTTGCGGGCGCCGCGCCACCCTTCACAGGGTTTGGGTTTCAATTTTTTTTGCAACCCTTCACAGGGATTTGCATTTTGCAACCCTTCACAGGGATTGGCGTGGTCGGGTGTTCGAACGCGAGGTAAAGTTGCATTTTTTGATTTGCATTGAAATGAATTTTGCAACCCTTCACAAGGATTGGCGTGGTGGAGTGTTCGAACGCGAGGTAAAGTTGCAATTTTTGATTAGCATTGAGATGAATTTTGCAACCCTTCACAAGGATTGGCGTGGTGCAGTGTTCGAACGCGAGGTAAAGTTGCAATTTTTGATGAGCATTGAGATGAATTTTGCAACCCCTCACAGGGATTGGCGTGGTCGAGTGGTTGAACGCGAGGTAAAGTTGCAATTTTTGATGAGCATTGAGATGAATTTTGCAACCCTTCACAGGGATTGGCGTAGTGGAGTGTTCAAACGCGAGGTAAAGTTGCAATTTTTGATGAGCATTGAAATGAATTTTGCAACCCCTCACAGGGATTGGCGTGGTCGAGTGGTCGAACGCAAGGTAAAGTTACACATTTTGCGGTGCCCCGCGCAATCCTTCATTGAGAGGGATTAGCTTCCTCGAATGTTCTAATCGGAAGGTGTGCAGGTACTGTTGCATGGTCTTTGGGCGCTGCGTGTAACCCTCTGCATGGATTGGCGTGGTCCAGGGTTGAAACGTGTGTGCAAACTACTACTTGTATCCTTTCCGCCGTGCAACTCTCCACAGGGAGTGGCGTGGTCGATTGCAGGAACTTGCATCTCTGCGAGGTGCAATTGGCAACCCTTCAGAGGGATTGGCAGATGCATATATCGATAATATACGCACATATATATATATATATGTGGTCGATTGCAGGAACTTGCATCTCTGCGAGGTGCAATTGGCAACCCTTCAGAGGGATTGGCAGATGCATATATCGATATTATACGCACATATATATATATATATATATATATATGTGGTCGATTGCAGGAACTTGCATCTCTGCGAGGTGCAATTGGCAACCCTTCAGAGGGATTGGCAGATGCATATATCGATAATATACGCACATATATATATATATATATATATATATATGTGGTCGATTGCAGGAACTTGCATCTCTGCGAGGTGCAATTGGCAACCCTTCAGAGGGATTGGCAGATGCATATATCGATAATAATATACGCACATATATATATATATATATATATCTTTGTATCTATCCATATATAGATAGATAGATAGATAGATAATAGATATATAGATAGATGGATAGATAGACATATATTCATGCGCCTGTACGGCGCGTACGCTGTCTTGCGACGGCGCAACGCGCCGCTGCCTGGCCGATGACCTGCAGGCTCGGAGCTTCTTCCTGCTTTGTAGAGGCTTTCTCCTTGCACACGTTTGACTCGCAGGCTGCCTGGTCGATGACCTGCAGGCTCGGAGCTTCTTCCTGCTTTGTAGAGGCTTTCTCCTTGCACACGTTTGACTCGCAGGCTGCCTGGTCGATGACCTGCAGGCTCGGAGCTTCCTCCTGCTTTGTAGAGGCTTTCTCCTTGCACACGTTCGACTCGCAGGCTGCCTGGCCGATGACTTCTGCAGGCTCGGAGTTTCTTGCTGCTCTGTAAAGGCTTTCTCCTTGCACGTTTGCCTGCCTCGTTTGGCTCGAAAGGCAGAAGAAAGGGAAGAAAGGGAAAACGCGTTGCAGTATTTTGCACACATTGCAGCATCTTACTACACCTAGTACGCTTCCTTGCCTGCCTTGACGCTGTCTTGCGAAAGGGCCGGTGTGGAGATTATTCTCAGCTTATTCTCATCTTCTCAGCTGACCATACTTAGGACAGTTGTTTGCCCGCCTCGACGCTGTCTTGCGAAAGGGTCGGTGCAGACACTTTTGCATTTGAACATACTTGGGACAGTGTTTTGCTTGCCTCGACGCTGTCTTGCGAAAGGGCCGGCGTGGACGCCTTCTTCCATCCCATGGATTCGCGGTTGCAGAAGTTCCGCGCCGATTATGCCCAGCAGGGCGAAGACTGGCTCCGCACCGAGCTGGGGAAGCAGAGTCGGGATGAGCTGGCTAAGCGCTGTGTCGCTGCGGGTGTGCAACAGAAGTCTGCCGGGCACAAGCTTACCAGAGCGGAGCTGTTGGAAGCTCTATCAAAGAGCATTGCCGGGGAGCAGGCTTCATGGGGAAGCGGCGTTCTTGAGGATTGTCCATGTCAGCTTCGGTTGCAGTGAACCGTCAGCGTCGTCGTCGGGTGGGATGCTTAGTGCTCTGCAGTGAAGCAGTTCTTGGTGTCAGGCCGATGAAGCGGCCTCGCAGCGAAAGCTGCAGGAACTGCGCACGGGTTATGCCGAGCAGGGCGAAGACTGGCTCCGCACCGAGCTGGGGAAGCAGAGTCGGGATGAGCTGGCTAAGCTCTGTGTCGCTGCGGGTGTGCTACAGAAGTCTGCCGGGCACAAGCTTACCAGAGCGGAGCTGTTGGAAGCTCTATCAAGAGCATTGCCGGGGAGCAGGCTTCATGGGGAAGCGGCGTTCTTGAGGATTGTCCATGTCAGCTTCGGTTGCAGTGAACCGTCAGCGTCGTCGTCGGGTGGGATGTTTAGTGCTCTGCAGTGAAGCAGTTCTTGGTGTCAGGCCGATGAAGCGGCGTCGCAGCGAAAGCTGCAGGAGCTGCGCACGGGTTATGCCGAGCAGGGCGAAGCCTGGCTCCGCACCGAGCTGGAGAAGCAGAGTCGGGATGAGCTGGCTAAGCTCTGCGTCGCTTCGGAGGTGCGACAGAAGTCAGCCGGGCGCAAGCTCTCCAGAGCGGAGCTGTTGGAAGCTCTATCACAGAGCATTGCCGGGGAGCAGGCTTCATGGGGAAGCGGCGTTCTTGAGGATTGTCCATGTCAGCTTCGGTGGCAGTGAGCTGTCAGCGTCGTCGTCGGGTGGGATGTTTAGTGCTCTGCAATGAAGCAGTTCTTGGTGTTAGGCCGATGAAGCGGCGTCGCAGCAAAGGCTGCTCGAGCTGCGCACGGGTTATGCCGAGCAGGGCGAAGCCTGGCTCCGCACCGAGCTGGAGAAGCAGAGTCGGGATGAGCTGGCTAAGCTCTGCGTCGCTTCGGAGGTGCGACAGAAGTCCGCCGGGCGCAAGCTCTCCGGAGCGGAGCTGTTGGAAGCTCTATCACAGAGCATTGCCGGGGAGCAGGCTTCATGGGGAAGCGGCGTTTTTGAGGATTGTCCATGTCAGCTTCGGTTGCAGTGAGCTGTCAGCGTCGTCGTCGGGTGGGATGTTTAGTGCTCTGCAATGAAGCAGTTCTTGGTGTCAGGCCGATGAAGCGGCGTCGCAGCAAAGGCTGCTCGAGCTGCGCACGGGTTATGCCGAGCAGGGCGAAGCCTGGCTCCGCGGCGAGTTGGGGAAGCACGGCAAGGATGAGCTGGTTGGGCTCTGTGTCGCTGCGGGTTTGCAACGACACCGTGCCGGGTGCACGCTTACCAAGCCGGAGTTGTCGAAAGCTCTATCACAGAGCATTGCCGGGGAGCAGGCTTCATGGGGAAGCGGCGTTTTTTAGGATTGTCCATGTCAGCTTCGGTTGCAGTGAGCTGTCAGCGTCGTCGTCGGGTGGGATGTTTAGTGCTCTGCAGTGAAGCAGTTCTTGGTGTCAGGCCGATGAAGCGGCGTCGCAGCAAAGGCTGCTCGAGCTGCGCACGGGTTATGCCGAGCAGGGCGAAGCCTGGCTCCGCGGCGAGTTGGGGAAGCAGAGTCGGGCGGAGCTGGTTGGGCTCTGTGTCGCTGCGGGTTTGCAACG